CCTCTGAGGGTGACGGAGCCCTGGCCCAGGCTGCCCAGGGAGGCTGTGGAGTCTCCTTCTCTGGAGATATTCCAGCCTCGGCTGGACACGGTGCTGTGCAGCCTGCTCTGGGTGACCCTGCTTGGGCAGGGGGTTGGACTGGATGATCTCCAGAGGTCCCTGCCAACCTGTAACGTTCTGTGATTCTGTGATTCTGTGACAGCTTCAGGTTTTAGGAGAGCAACAGCGTACCTTTCGTCGAGACTGCCGCTGGGAGATGCTGAAGGGCTGGACTGGGCTAGCTCGGTCACGTCGGAGATAATGGGACCAGAGTTGGCTGAAGAATGCGGGGAATACAGGTTGGAGCCGCTGTACGCCGGGGAAGAAGCCTGAAACGAGAAGCACAGCTTTTGTGGCGCGAAGCACTGGGCACGCACCGCCCGCCGCCGCGCGTTCGGGAGACGGAGCGGGAGGAGGAAGGTCGCAACGGGCCCAAAGCCGGACCCACCCAGGGAGGAAGGCGACGCGGGACTCAGCGCCGTGCCCAGACACACACCGCTGCCAAGCCAAAGCTCTACGAACAACCACAGAATGCTCGGGGCTGGAGGGGACCTCTGTGGGTCACCCAGTCCAAGTCCCAAATAGGAAACCGGACTTCTGTCCCGTGAGCTTCATTTTCTTGGAAAGAATGGAATTTTAAAAAATAAAAATATTGGGTTCTTTCTCCGGGTCATTCGACACTCGGCTTTTCAGAAGCCCGGATTTTCAGCTTTCCCCTTCCACTAAAACTCCACTCTTTTTTTTTCTGAAATGAAGGCTGAGCGCCGTGCGACCGAGACCTGCAGACGTAAGACACACAGGATTTCCACGCTGGCGACGGCACCGCGGAATGGAGCCGTTTCGGTACCAAACGGACTGCGGCGTCCGAGCGGACCCGCATGCCCCCTCCTCTCCGCGTGTCGGCATTCGGCAGCCCGGGACACCCAGCAAACCGCACAGCAGACGCACCCAGGAGTCAGGAAACCATGGGAGACGTGGAGAATACGAGGGAAGGTGATTTGATGGAGCCCTGGCCCAGGCAGGCTGTGGAGTCTCCTTCTCTGGAGATATTCAAGACCCACCTGGACAAGGTCCTCTACAGCCTGCTCTGGGTGACCCTGCTTGGGCAGGTGGTTGGACTGGGTGACCCACAGAGGTCCCTTCCAACCCCCACCATTCTGTGAAGAGTGAGATAAGAAGACAGGGTAAGAGATTCTGCTTGAACCCTCACGGCCGTCCTTTGGAGATCCGTGACCTCGCTCTCCTCCTCAGGAGCCATCTCCTGGCACCTCAGGCAGTTGGTGATGGCAACACTGAGCGGGAGCTAGAGAAACCCCATGGCCTTGCTTACCTTCCCATAAATATCTGACTGTCTGTCTGTCCTTCAGCGCTCGCCTGCACCGCACACGCCGCAGCTCGGCCGACAGCAGCGCGGCGTTAACCTTCCTGAGCGCAGGACAGAGCTGGAGCTGCTGGAGCGCGGCCGGAGGAGACCCCAGCAATGATCCGAGGGCTGGAACCCCTCTGCTGGGAGGAGAGGCTGGGAGAGCTGGGGCTGCTCAGCCTGGGGAGGAGAAGGCTGCAGGGAGACCTTAGAGAGGTCTTTCAGAACTTCATGGGGGTCTACGAGAGAGCTGGAGAGGGGCTGGGACAAGGGCAGGGGGTGATGGGACAAGGGGTGATGGCTTTGGACTGACAGAGGGGAGATTCAGATCGGATCTCAGGAAGGAATTCTTCACTCGGAGGGTGGGGAGGCCCTGGCCCAGGTTGCCCAGAGAGGT